ACTTTTTACCAAAAATGACAAAAATATTCACAAAAATTAGAGAATTGAAGATGTGATCATGAAATGAACAAATCTGAGAGAGGTCTCCCCAAGGTACATATACACCAAGTATCAAAGCATTCAGGCTTGTAGTTTTTTCAAGAAGAAGTCGAAAAAGTAAAACATTGACACGAACGCCGGACAATCACTCATATGATAAGCTCCGCTCGACAAAGTCAACAGCGGAGCTAATGAAGCTGAAGACATGCAAACCAGGTCTATTTACACCCTTTTTAGAACGAACATCAACTTTTGCCATCTTTCACAAAATAACTTTGCAAAACATTTTCAAATTCTGTTTAACAACATCTGAAAGTGGTTATATCTCATCCAAAAATAATAACTCACCAGATCTACCGTAATGTTTGCTAGCTCTACTCAGTATTTCCTCTTTTGCTGCTTGCTGTTGCTGCTGTTGCTGTTGTTGGTGATGTAGCTGCTGTAGTTGCTGTCGATACTGCTCTTGCACTGGCATTGGATGCTCCGGCTGATCATATTTACTATAATAAACGGCAGTATCTTCTGGGTGAGCAAATCGACTTCCACCACTCGCTTCATTATTATTTGATTTATTCACTTTCTGATCAGTTGATGTGTATTTACTTTCACGAGTTGCTCTACTTTGGTTAGATCGGTCTAAGTATCTACTACTACTAGTGTTATCTGGTTTTGATGGGTTAGTTCTGGTAACAACATATTGTGTTAGTTTAGAACCGCCACCACCACCACCACCACCACCACCACTGCTACCACCACCACCACCAGTAGGACTACCACCACTGCTGTCAATATGAAACCGATATTATGTAAAGTGGGTTATTAAAATAAAAAAACAATGAAAAGTACAGAATATCCTATTATTTTACATAACACATGTTTGTGTGAAAATGATGAAAAGCAAATTGAAAAGAACCTCCCTTGACGAATTAGTGCTGACTAGTTATCTAATTAGGGAGCACCAATAAGTGGTTATCTATTTACTGCAAGATTATGCGTAATGTGTGAAAGACGTGAATTCAACGTCTGCCGCCAAAATTTAATAATTTGATTTTGAACTTGAATTTCTATTTTTCACAGAGGAATATGGTGTTTTCAGAGAGGAATATAACGGTACTTCATAAAAATTGACCATCATAAATGTGTATAGCACATTATTAAGAGTGGAAATACCCACAAAATTGTTTCGCATTTGTCAAATCCCGTGCAATGTTTTGATACAACTACAACTATGATTTTTGTTTGTTCGTTTTTTATGTTTGATTTCACGCATAACACTGGATCTCGTAGTGAATAGATTATGGTATTTTGGTAACTTGTAACCTAAAATAATATTTTATACATGTATATGTGACATTATCATAGACATAACCCATGTAATTGAAATAAGGTATGTCTGTCAGCTATAGTAAACTGTTTTAAGTTCAAAAGAGACAAATTTCATAAATCGTGAAAATTGCAAAATTTGATAGTAGTCAACATTTCTCTGCGCATACAACATGAAGTCTCAGTAATGTCCAACAAATTTTGTTTTAAAAAATGGTGTAAATCCTTATAATGTGTAAATGAAATTTATTCGAGGGCGTTCGTGAACAAAAAAATTACTATGACTCCCTATCTGATGGATGACAGTGAAATGACAACCGTTACACACACAGAAATACAGTTTGTGATTCAAATAAGGTAGTAACATGGACAGAAAACTATAATCAAGTAGAAAAACGGATAGATAAAAGTATACAAATACTGGACATTGTTTAATGGCATTAATACTTACATATTCTGTGGGTAACTGATCTGAGTGGCTGAAGGGCATCTACTATTAGGACGACTTGGACTACTTCTTGTTTTAGCAGAATAACCTAGTCAATACAAAAAGACACTATGAGCTATGCACAACCATGAAAAACACAACCAACAAAATTAAAATCTAGTTTTAACCCGCTTGAGACAATGAAATGCAGTTGCATGGTATGTATCAGATACATGTATGTTGCAATTATACCTCGTTTAACAAAATCAGTATACTCCTTTGTCTAACTGCTCATCAAATGGGGATGGATGTGTCTTTATTGGACTGCCTCGTCCTGTTGTTGGTCTTGATGGGTTTGTAAGCACTACAGGAGAACTCCTAATTTGATGTTGTAACTGCAGCAAATCTTGTTGTCGCTGCTGCACAGCTGAGAGTGCCACTACGTGCTGTCGCGTCTTGATCTTGATCGCTGCTGCTGACCACTGCTACCTCGCGATGATGGAATCTCTTCGGCTGATTTAGTTGTATGTCCCCACTCATAATGATCATCTGAAAGGCATCAAATAGAAATAAATGAAATAATGGTAATCAGCAGACACTGTTATCAAAACTTTTAAATACAGGGGATTCCTACCACAAACATAAAGAATTTCTACTCACCAGCAAATTGCAAATCTGAGAGATGGTTAGCGACGTACTGTGCAGCGAATGTCTTCTCATGATGAGGGCATAACCCTTCTACATTGCCACTGACTGGCATGCTAGACCAGCCGCGCTGTCCGGCGGTATAACGAAATGTTGGAACTTCTGCAAAAAAAATAACACACTTTTATTTTAATACTTTCTAGACAAAAGTATAAATGATCCAGTCCAAAATTTATCCAGAATTCCACATTTTCATGAATATGCCAATGATAATATATAGAAGACATACCATTCTCTCCTTGAGGCAAGACACCGTTCTTTAAATAGGCATTAGTTAAAGCTTCTAAGTATTCCGCCTTTAAATAAAGATTTGAACAATCAATAAATGTACAATATCACGTAATGGACAATAAAATGTTAGTACATATCACAATAACCAGAAAATACAATCCCCTGTTGTAAAACACCTAAACACTCAGAAACAAAACAATTGTTAAAAGGGTAAAGCTGTGTCAGTATTGAAAACTGACAAGTCAGTATGCAGCCAGTCATTGTGCTGTCACTTCCCTAGTACACTCACTATGTACCTACGAATATTTGTACAAATTATACACTAATGTTCATGGTACATCCTATAGTATAACGTCTTCAGTTTTGAAAATATAAGAAATGTCATTAAATTGAGAGGCCATGATTGGCTTAAAGATTCAGTGACAAAACCTTAATAGATACAAAGAAAATTTCAGTAATGAATTTAAAGTGACTGAACATGAATGTATTTGTATTTATACAATAGAAAGAAACATTCAAATCTTGTGCAACATAAAGATATAACCAGGTGCAAACTGAAGCATACATAATATGATAACTATGATTATATCTGCACCTTCTTCATTCTCCTATTGAACCTGTAATAAACATGGCTTTGTTTGGGTTCGCAGCAATCTACATTAATTTCTATGGTCTGTGGGTAATACAAAGATGGTGATAGAATTGTGATAAATAAATGTGATAAGTAATAATATTAACATAATCATGTAGCATTTGAAAATGATATGATATTAAGAAATCAAAACAAGACAGTACAGTTAGTAATGTCAAATGCAATCAAATTAGTGTTAGTGACCATCACTATGTAAAGTACACCATTTTTGAGCAGTTGCAACATATGAGCAACCTGTGTATGAAGACCACACTTTCGGCAATATTATTGCAGATTAAATTTTTTTAGAATAAAATCATAATTCTGTTTAATAATGGAAAATAGTTATTGATTTTCTAAAATCAAACTCATTTGATTTTGAACAATTAAAATAAATGTATTTTTGTTGCAGCAGTAGCATCTCATTATTTTCTCCACAAATATTATGTATGTCAAATTTATGAGTTGGCAATCCACAAAAAATAATCCACCCTCTGTAAAGACCACCTGTCTATAAAGTCCCTTAGGTAATCACTATACACAGGGTTGACAGTACATTTTGTATGTGCAGATGTACAATATAACTATTGTTTCCACTGAATAACAGAATGAGAGATTGATACTGTTAGAATACATAGTGCAGGGTTTCTTCTAGTTATACAAATCACTCAGTGCAGTACAATAAACATTGTAAGTTGAAATACCACACTAAAAAAACAACAGAAACAAAGATGGATGTATATTGTTAGAACTGATGATGACTTGTAATCTTCACCTGGTAATGAATCCTAGGGTAGATATCACGATACGACTCTCGTTTTGTTATATGTTCAGGAATTGTTTCCGGTTTGGGTTCAAAACCAGGCTCTGTGTCAAAGAACAGGGGTGGTGTCAGATCTGATTCTGATTCAAAACCTGGCTCTGGATCAAAGTACAGAGGTGGTGCCAGGTCTAATTCTGGCTCAGAATCTCGATCTGATTCTGTTTCAAAATCTTCTGGTTCCGATTCAAAAAATGGCTTCGGTTCCAGATCAGGTTCTAGATCAGGTTCCAGTGCCGTATCTGGCTCTGGTTCAGGATCAGGTTTATGTTCTGCATTAAGTAGGGAATCTGAGGAACAGTTGTACTGTAGAAAAACAGGCACCATTAGTAATGTAAGTAGTGATGTAAGTCAATCAAAGTTGGTAAGTGTACATTCAAAAAACTTTTTTTTTTTTTTGCAGGAAAAAAAGAAAGTACCGTAACATGACACACTACTATACATGTATTATAATAACAATAACCAGCATACTGTAATTTAGTTTATATGAGTAATGTATACGTTCCAGCTACCCACACAATATACTGTCAACAATATTTCAAATTATGACATTATTTTACAATGCAATAAATAATCAGGTTCAGCCAATAAGTGCAGTGCAGATTTCACCCAAGAATTCAACAAACACAATCCCCAAGATATGAAACAGAATAAATGTGCACTTAAATAAAACAATTATATCATAATTAATAACTATATATTATTTTAACACTTGAGTCTTTGTTCTTAAGATTAGTGTTGTACCTCATTGAACACTTGAGAAGGCTGGCCTTCATTCTCCAGGATGGGGGATAGTTCGCTAAGGGGCAAATCAGGATAGGACTGCTAAAAGAAGTAATTAACATATATAAATTGTAGACACAGATTTTGGTATCAAATCAATGATATATTGAGTTAAACTGTTAAGACAAACATGTAACAGCAGTCTATTAAAATTCATATCATCTGAATTATGCAAATGAGACACACCAATGTATTCCTTAAATGGGTCAGGCTCAGATAAAAACAAAAGTAACTCAATTTATACTGCATGAGGGCATACCATCATCAGATTTTTTTAAGAGCATAATAATGTTGACTGTGACTGATCCGCAATTCTTCCATCAGTAAAGTAGTTCTATTCTGTAAAAATTTAAAAAAAAACAGGAGTGATATTTTTTAAATTACAAAAACTAACCTTTTTGATTCCTTTATCGTTTAATGCTGAATGGGAACTGCTAGCATCATGACGCGCATAATTCAATCTTCCCGCTGAGTGGGAATCTTTACTGGTGACGTGCTGATAGCGAATCACTTTAGGCGTATTAGTCTACAAAACAAGAATAAAACAATCTTTTTTCACATGGTCATACATAGAATGCAAAAAAAAACCACAAGTTTTCACACACTGAAATTTACAAACACACATCAAATGTGAATCTTACCCTATCTTCCTTTTTAGTCAATCCCTCTTTCTCAGCTGAAGGCGATTCTCTTTTCTCACTAGAATATTTATCTGATGCATTGCGCTTCTTATCACGTTCTTTTCTTGTCTTTAATTTCTTCTTCTTCTGCAGCTGAAAATAGATCAATACCTTTATTTATAATGATCTGGGTGTACTTGTATTAATGATACAGTATTGGTATATATATTTACCCAGGGTCCTCTCTATTTTCAAGAGTTAACATGTTTGTACTTCAAACTGTTTCATTTTTTATAATATCAGAATAACTAAGCCTTGTGAGTGAAATTTTAGTGAAAACCAGCAGATTTTGAATTGGATGAATGACATTGTGTCAACTTCATTATTACATATACAAGTGTAGCTGAATCCGATTAATTATTTTGATTTTCAAAAGCTACTTTCCCACATGTCTAAAAAACGCCAGTGTTAACACTGTTTTTCGTTGTGCAAATATTAGATAATCTGCTGAATTGTCTGCTCACGTTCTCACATAGTAAAAACACCGGTGTTTTGTGCCCTCGAGAAATCATATCACGGAAAGGTCAATAAACAAATGGAAAGGTAAGTCGACAAAATGGCCTCCTCTCTGGTAAATTCATTTGCTTTGTTCCTGTTTTTCCGTGTGTTTTTACACTCGAGAAGAAAACAACAACAAGCGATTTATCGAGATTTCGAAGAGCAAGAAATCGCCAACTTAATGATGCTGTTGACTGTTTACTTTAGGTAGTTGACTCAACGGTTGTACATGTTTTTTGAGTTTCTACAATGTCTTGTAATGAGTGTTTAATACGTAGCCTAAATGAACATGTCATAAACTCCAGATGAACCAAATCATACTTATACATCATCTGATTCGAAGCTAAATAAAACTGACAGCAAAGTACACTCACCTTGGGAGCAATAGCCAATAAGTGCACAGGCAAACCATCATCCACAGAACTATCCGATCCACTTGTACTACAAACAAAATATTAAATGACAAATCAAACATGTGACAACAATTATAACTATACTTACACCATATAAATGAACACATGACGTTACTTACACCATATAAATGAACACATGACATATAACTTTACCTTGATTCCACAGCAGATGTGTAGTCTTCATCTAAATCCACAATACCATCGTCTGGTATTGGTGATCCTACAGCCCGTAGATGTGCCAATATCTCCTGTCGTACTCTCTCCTCCAAGTGACAAAGAATTTGAGCACACTATGAAGTAGTCAAATACAACCACAATTAGTAATAAGTATGGAAGAGCAAAATACATGCACATGCACGCATTAACAATATTAAATCTGGTGCTACTGCCAAAGTGAATAATATCAAATTTTGCTTGTCAGAAAATAAAATATGAAAAAACATTTAATGATGTTCAGTAAGGCAAAAAAGCTAAGATTGAACTAACTATAAATTTATCTTTGTACAGTAGGAACAACTGTAAAGCAGTAAGCAATATTTTCTATGGACTGGATATGGCTTTTCCAGCCCAAGGTCGTACGGTGGAAGTGCCAAGCTTGTGAAGGTGCGTTAGCCGTATGACTGAAGACAACAAAAGTTTTACGCAGTCCATAAAGTTTTTATCATATACCTTATCAGATCTACAGTCAGCTGGCGCACACGTGATAATAAAATAAATGCGATATTTAATATATAGGGGCCGCCATCTGGAATGCGGCATAAAAGTAAATAAGAAACAAGTTGTGAAACACGTTTTTCAGATTCAGGACAAAATGCCAATCTTTCACAGAAATACGACCCGTTGGGGTAATATTAAGCCAAGAGATAACAAAATTCAACCGAATTCATAATTTTTGTGTGGAAAAATCCCTTAAATACGAACACCTAATTACACAAAGAACAGAGAACACTTTCCCGGGGTATTTGAAATCAAAATTAGCTGCTGAGCTGGAATGACAATTTTGTTATCGGTTGGCTTAATATTATCCCAACTTGTCTCTTAGTTAGTTTTATGCCGCATTCAAGATGGCGGCCCCCATATAGTAAATATCACATTTATTTTATTATCACGTGTGCACCAGCTGACTGTGATCAGACCAATTAAAAAAATGTCATTCTACTGGTTCTCAGTTATTAATCTTATTTCTACCATTTATTTAAACGTTCGCATTGCGGATTGATATTTCTGTGCCTGACGTCACAACATCAACATGATACGTGAACGTTCTAACATTCATTGGTGCTTGCAACTCTTTCAAAATAGATTGGCTCGCTAGAATCCTGACCAGAGTGCATAATACCTAGAATGTGGTAATATTTTAGCCCTAAATATCATTCTGTGTTTGGAGGTTAGATGTGCTAGTGTGATCAATATTTTATAAAGGCTTGTCCCACAATATAATAGCAAAAATCTGAACTGTCAAGATCAATACAGACTAGTTACAAATGTCGTCACTGGTAACCAATGTGTGCGACGCTCTAAAATTGAAAAGGAATATGTTTGTCCAAATATGGTCAAACAGGGCCGGGCGTGATATTAAAATTTATTGCATGGCTCTTTGATGGGCTTCTCATAGCATAACGAGGTGGAGCAATACAAGGTATATGATAATACTGTACAAGCCACTAAATACAAATATCTAGAATAATAAGGTGCACACCAGCAAAAACAAGTAAAAATCATACAAGACACAATACATGCTTACATAGAAATCAACGCAGTGAGTAAGGTGTAATAATTACCATACAAGTAAGGGTCATTAAGCAATAGTTAATAGAAAAAGACAACATGTTAAAAAATTAAAACCAGACGTGACTGTGTGTATATAACACATTTTGAACAAAATACTGAGGATAGAAAGTCACCACAGCAGTTTGTCAACTGGTCAACACAAGCCTGCTAGTGAAATAAGTACAGTGAAAGATAATTATATGGAATTATTATTGAATACTGACATTTATTCACAGTAATTTCAGGTATAAACTGAATGAAACGACAACATCTTACCTTTGAGTTATCGGGATCACAGTAATCAAGTAACGAATCACAGAAGTGATACCCTAACGACTCATAGTCCTTAGTACTGAAATGATGCTGCTTACCCAGTGATGTACCACAGAATGTAGCCTGCAAAGACAACACATTTTTACAGAATATATGTTATTGCTTACAGGGCTTAGTCTAGTGTTATGTGAAAACAATTACATGCATGAGTACATTTAAGAACTTAATGGGTTAGCATCTTTATGACCAAATTCAGAATAAAAACATATATTGGCGTCAGTAGCCACATCAGAATCCAACCAAATCATGACTTGTGTATCATCTATGCCATACAGCATTATATAAATGATTAAAATCATTTCAAACTTGACAACAAATTTTGCTTGATTTTAAATTTTGGACAGTATAAATAAGTTCAGTATAGATCAACTTACTTCCATTGTAAAGCTATTCATAATTCCCATCTGCCACATGACAACACGACCAGTACCGTCTTTGCTCTTCTGAACTTTAAATTTACAACTCTCAAAGCAGAACTGTAAAGACAAGAAGTAACAATGCTCAATCCAAACATTGATCATGTACTTTTAGAGGATACACCATAAGATAAAAACATAATCAGTATTTTATCATTGATTCAAAGACATTTTACTAGTATATAAGCTATGCATCATTTCAACAACTCAGTACATCCATGGAACTATAAACCCCAGGAAGAACAACCACTTTGTTTCCTTTGAACTATGATAGTTGCCGCGATGTTGAATGTTTATTTTGACTGTTTATTTCGTCGTATTAAAAAATAAGCCGATTTACGCAAATGAACGTTTATCTCCAACTATCGGTCATTTTCGGTGTCAATCGGGCGACTTCCGGAGATCACGTGATCGAGTTATTTCGGTTATAGCATAAAAAAACAATGGCGCCAAGACAAAAACACTGATAAATGAGCGACATTCAACGGTAAAAAAAAACACATTGCCCCTTCTGGCGATCGAAGGGAAACACGGAATAAGTCGGGATATGTCGACAACAAACAGCATACCAAACCCCATACTTCGCAAACTTTCGCAACCTTATTTTTTCGAGGGTTGAAAAAAACAAGAAGTAATCTAAAAACGACATTGAAAATTATGAAAACTCGCTAAAACTTCGACCCGTTGCATGATTTCCGGTACACTGAAGGTCACCCTGCAGACCGACTTGTTTGCGCATGTGTAGTGAACAAAATATTTTACTGCACAGATATGAAATTTTTTTTTCAAATTTTCCCTTTCCAGCAAAGCCGTTGATACCGGCCTATCGGCGGCAACTAACATAGAGTATGACTAATGTTGTGGAAACAAAAGCGAAAGCACTGTAAGATAAACTAAGACAAAGGTTTTTTTAATCCTCTTAGTTTCGTTGTTCTTCCTGGGGTTTATAGTTCCATGGTACATCAAACAATTACAACATGCAATATGTTAAACAAAGCTTTCATTTTCACTCATTTCCAGGAACCCAAACATGGTTAACACAATGTACTCAAAGAATGTGAATCAGGGCTTTTTCTACTGCTATAAAATACACGTTAAATTTGTGTTGTCTGCCAAGCGTGTATGTTCTGATAAAACTAAGAAATCCACATGAGCTATAGTGATATATTTCACCATGACATGGACAGTGTTTACCTTTGTTGGAGCATTCTTATTCAATATATAAGGAAAGATCCTTTCTCTAAATCTCTTGGCTAGATCATGTCTATTTTCACATCCATAAATAAATACATTCTGTTTTCTACTGTGTCCATGTAAATCACAATAAACCACTACTTCTCTCTCCTCCATCAGCCTAGCAAATAAACAGAGTTGTGTGCCTTTAGAGGTTTACATACATCATTTTACTCCATTCATTATACGATAGGCAGCATACAACACTATGGTTACTATGAGTTAATATTAACTTCACACATGACTGGGAACAATACAAATATGGATGAGGTGCAGGATATTTGATGTTCCATATTAAGTTACAAGAACAAAGTACTGGATTATGGATACCCAATGATGCTGGTATTTCGAGTGTATGACTGCACGGTTAGGGTCAAACTGATTTAAGACAAACACAAGGAAGTAAATGTTTATATTTGAAGCAGAATTTTCATTTGCACTATCAGCATTGTCAGCTGTTGATCTGTAAAAATTGATGACCTCATCAGTGTAACTTGCTCAGTGACCTCACCAAGTGTTACTGTTAATGTTATCATCTCTGTATTCATACATATTAGCAAAATTAGTCTTTATCTTTGAAAAATAGCAAAGGTGCAATCAGTGCAAAATCTGCTTAGATGGCAAGAACACCAAATTCTTCATAAACCAGTGCAGTAGAAATAAACTGTACACATATCAGCATTCCATACTTACTTCTTAATAAGTACTTTACAATGGCAAACTGACGGAAAAGAGTCTTTAAGTACTGATTTATAATTCCTATTAAGATCTCGGCCAGCTAATGAGCACCTATAGTTGCCAACGATAACACCGTCCGGATTCAGCATGGGTATCACTTTAAATACAAACGTATCTCGCAATAACTGTAATAAAATGCAGTAATGAGAACATTACGATCAAAGCATTTCTGTGTTATAAATAGGTGACATGTAAGCTGCTCAGTGCATTGATATTGTTTTGATGTGTAGTTGTTTACAATGAAGACTACGTACTAAGTATTTGAGAAATTTTACTAAATTCTAGATGACGACCAACCAAACGCAGTTGCTAATTTTAACAACATTATATTGACATGTGGTCAAAATAAGCAATGAAGCACTTCTGTGACCGAACATGGAAGGTACTAAC